TCTAGGATGGCCCCCGGTGATCCACAGGTCCTGGAATTCATGCCTTTGTGTGATCCTTTCCCTTTAGTGCAGACTAGACTTAGCAACTTGTTTCTAATGAATAAAATACATCCAAAAAAATGAGATGGCACTTCTGAGATTAGGTTACAAAAGGCCTGTAGCTTCTATCTTGGCTTCTCTCTCTCACTCTACCCCTTGCTCACTCCAAAGAAAGGCAGCTGCCATGTGGTGAGCTACCCTGTGGTGAGATCCATGGGTCAAGAAATTGATGTTTCCAGCCAACAGCCAGCCAAGACCTAAGGACTGCCAACAGCCACGTGAGTGAGCTTGGAAGTGCATCCTGTCCGAGTTGAGCCCGCAGATGACTCAGCCCCACCCAACCCCTTTGCTGCATTCTTGTGAGAGATCATGACTCAGGCACCCAGCAAAGCCTTGCTCAGATTCCTGACCCACAAACATGGTAAAATGAATGTTTGTTGTTTTAAGCCACTAAGTTTGGAGCTAATTTATTATGCAGCACTAGATAACTAATACAATTACTCTGGCTAGTGTAGCTAATACATTGGGGAGGGGAGGTAAGACTGGAAACAGCTGCAGTAGCTATAACTCTATGAGAAAATTAGTAGCTATAATAGTAAGAGTATGGACTGGGTGTGGTGGCTCATGTCTAAAATCTCAGCACTTCGGGAGGCTGAGGCAGGTACACTACTTGAGCCTAGGAGTTCAAGACCAGTCTGGGCAACAGACTGAAACATCATCTCTACAAAAACTACAAAAACTAGCCAGACATGGTGGCAAATACCTGTACTCCCAGCTACTTGGGAGACTGAGGTTGGAGGATCACCTGAATGCAGGAAGTTGAGGTTGCAGTGAGCTAAGATCCTGCCACTGCACTGCAGCGTGAGTGACAGAGCAAGACCTTGTCTCAATTAAAAAACAAAACAAAACAAAAAATGTCCACAAGAAAAATCAGCTCTTTCTTTTGCCATCTTCCATCATTGCCGATAGCATTCATCCAAAGTGAAATTCAACAAAGATTCGTTGATTGGTTGCACTATGGCACACTCAGGGTAGTATGTGGTTCATTTAGTAGTCCAAGCACAGATGTTGGGTATGTAAGGGGAAAGCTGGGCTACGTGCCCATTCTTCAGTTACCTTTTCCTGTGTTGAGCACCACTAAGTTCAAGGCCACACCCCTTGACTGGAGCTGGAAGGCACTGCTTGTCTGTGAACACCCAAGTGTCAACCTGGGCAGACAGACTGGTCACCACTGTCACATTAGAAGGGATGTTGGAATGGAGAGAACATTCTAGAGACAGCAAACAAGTAATTCTGGACTCACTCCAGCTCCCAAAGTTCTATAACATAAGAGGTGATCTGGAGGTTAGCCTCAAAATATCTTTTTCTTTACTTTTTGAACATTAATCTTTTAAATAGAAACGAGGTCTTGCTATGTTGCCCAGTCAGGTCTCAAACTCCTGGGCTCAGGCAATCCTCTTGCCTCGGCCTCTTGAGTGGATAGGATTACAAGTATGCTCCACCCAGCTACTATTATAGCTTCAAAGTTTTTAAAGTAAGCGTAACAAAAGTCAAGCGTCCAGCTGCTGATGTCAGAATTCCTATATGTTTTCCCAGCAGAGTTCAAGCTTGATCCTCTCTGGGGACCTGACTGGTCAAGTCCTGTTTAGGCAGCTTCACCTTCAGAAGAATACAGGGCAGTCCAGTCTCACTTTGGAAAACTTCCCCTTGGAGGAGATATTCTAGAAGATTTTGTGAATCCAAGTGATAAACAGAGAAGAGGAAAAGCAAGTAGGTTAGTATTTATGAGGGAGGAAGTAGCGCAGGAGGATGGCCATGGAAGCCCACTTCTGGCTCCAATAGTCTGGTTTGTAGCTGCCTGATCCTGCTGATGTCTGATTGGAAAGCTGGACAAAATACCAAAGGATCTCTCTGAAGACACCTGGTAGCTAGAACTCGGCCAATATCCCAAAGAAAGAGGAGCATATTGATGTGAACCAGTGGGTACTTGACACAAAAGCAACCCACATTGCAAGTGTTCAATGGCCACCTACAGCTACTCTATGAGACAGCACAGATCGAGTTTCTACAGTTTCCTATATACAATATCTACTATGCAATGAAAATTTTCCAAGCATACAAGAAAATAGAACCAAAAGAAAAAGATAGGTAATAGAAACAGATCCAGATATGAGAATGGTCAAAAATAGATCTTTAAATAACTAAGATTCATATATTCAAGAAATTAGAAGACAAATGAGAATTTAGCAGAAAACTCAAATCAATAAACCAAATGAAAATTCTAGAACTGAAAAATATGATAACTGAAATTAAGAGCTGAATAGATAGATTTAACAGCAGATTGGTCACAATCAAACAAAAGATTAGGAAACCGGAAGATTGGCCAATATAAAAATCCAGGATAAAAACTAGAGTATTTAAAAGGGCATAAAATACCCAAAAAATGTATAAGAAACAAATGTGACATGATGAAGTGGTCTAATATATGTACAATTGAAGTGCTACAAGGGAAGGAGAAAGAGATTATGGCAGAAACAATATTTGAAGATTTCTCAACTATCATGAAACCCATAGAATCAGGAGGTTCAGTGAACCACAAGCAGGGTAAATACAAAGAAAACCATACCTAGAGAACATCATGGTAAAATGCTGGAAATCAACAACAATGATAAAAAACCTTTAGAGCATCCAGAAAAAATGTAAAGGGCATATTAACTTCAAAGGGGCAACAGTAAGACATGCACGCAGCTGATTTCACAGCAGAAACAGTAAAAATAGAAGATAATGGCATGACATCTTCACAGTCCTAAAAGGAAATGTCTGTACAGGATAAGCAAACAGGAAAAGAGAGATCTGAGGCTGTTTATTTCTACAAAAGAAAAATAAACCCGTGGTTGTCTCTCAATGACTTATACTGCTTTAATGGGAGTTTTCATTTTTCTGTTTTCACCTTTTTGGATCTTTACTGCCTATTAATTTTTTGCTCTGCTTATGTAACTGAGATAAAGCATTACATGTATTCTAATTCCAAGAAAATAAGTTAATATATTTTCCTAATGAAATCTTGAATCTCATTTTTTAAAACTATATTTTATTAATGGGACTTTCCTCCCATCAAACGCTTACAAATTAATGAGGTCATTGCCAACATTAACTACACATTCCAGTGACTAATTAGAGTGGCATATAGTTTCTTTCCGCCTGCCACACTAAAGTATTTCATTTGCACGGCTAGTGAAATCATTAAGAGTCCCAGGATTTTAATTAAGGCTGTCTGGGTAAGAATCCTGCCTCTACCACCTACTCACTGTGTGATCTCAGGCAACTTAATGTCTCCAAACCTTGATTTCACAGAGGACAATCATAGCCATTCCTAGGAGTTTGTGAGACATATATGAGAAGATTATACATGTAAAATTCTTGGCACAGGGAAGATTCCGTTTCCTCCAAAAGACATAGGATCCACATGTTTCCGATAAAACTTGGCAGTACTAGCAGAAAAAGCAAGTTCTTTTGGCAAACACACGCCATCAGTAACGAGCTGACGACACCCATGACAAGGCATGCCCACTGTTACAAGGCCTGCTCCCCTGGGACAGCCATGCATGGAACAGGGTCAATGTGTCCCAGACAGCAACAGATGATTTGTAAAATTGGGAAAGGAAAGGAAGCAAAGTTGTTAAAGCAACCCCACTTTGTGAAATGCCTTCACCCTCAGGGAACACTGAGTAATCCCGGGCACCCCCTGCTTCCTGGGATCTCTAACACCTCCCCACTTCAACCCCTGCAGTGTGAGCATGTCTGTTTGAACACTGAGCTTCCTCCTGTTCCTGAGTAATCTGGTGCAGTCACATGAAAGTAAAGCCTAGTTCTAGCTTTGGGTTTCTGGTTCTTTCATCCCTTACCCCATCCCTAAAGTTCCATTTCTCCCCCTCCATCAGGAAAAATGAATTAAAGCTGAGAGTGGAGGGCAGTGGTGGTGAATTCTTAAGCAATCCTTTCAAGAACAATTCTTGGGGAGAGGGGGTTAAAGAGGTCTCTAAAGTTCATTTTAATTTCCTTGGAAATTAAAATGGATTCTGTAGTGACAGAATCCAGAGAAACATGATATGATTTTTAAAATAATCATTTTCAGAAACTGATAGGCAACACATACAAGGATTAGATTCAACTTTGTGATTCTAATTTCTCTAAACAGCATGTCATCTGAAATGTGATATGGAAAATCCAAGTTCTAATTTTATTCAGCTAGATAATGCATGCTTAGGATCTCGATCTTTCCTTTTTATCTTTTAATTGGTGACATATTTCCATCTTTTATGGAAGCATAACACAGAATACAGAAAATACACATATCACAAGTGTGTATGTGTATACAAGTATACCCTTAATGATTTTCTCAATGAAAATTCCATGTAAATCATTAAAATAGTAACCTACCATGCTTCTATATCTTCAGGTCCCAGGGCCTGGAGAGCTGAGGGGCATGGGTCTCACTCTGTTCACCCCATTCCATCTCACCACTGCTTAGCTTCCACCCAAAGCCTCTACTTTTAACTGTTTTAAGGATTGGGGTTGGGCACTAGATTTTGTTGTGGGAAAAGTAGAGGTTCTGATGTAAAAAAAAAAAATTAGTTTTAAAGTTAACAATCTCATCCTAAGATTCAGGGTTCCTTCCTATTCATAGCTCAGGATGTGGGACATGCTGTCACAAGAGAAAGATGCTGAGCCAAGACCAGGTGGCAGGTGGGGCTCCAGGGTGAACACAGGGTCCAACGTGGGCAAGAGACCTCAACGTGGAAGCAGGGCATGTCCCAGCACCAGATCTATGGGTGAGCCTGTGGTCAAGAGTCAAAAATGGACATGATACCAGCATTGGAGCAAAGACTTCGCTTGTCTGAGTCATTTCCTTCAAGAGTGGTTTGCATTATGCTTTTGCAAAACGTCCTGGTCTTCTCCAGAACCTGCAGGTTAAATCCATGGAGTTATTCAAATCCAAAGCACGCCACTCCAATGCAAGCAACAGCTGTGGGAAGTTTCAGTTCCAGGTCTGCGCACATGATTCAGTCAAATTCCCAGAAATGGTGCGGGTACTTCCCAGGCAACTGGATCCTGTGCCCAGCTCTCCAGAGTAGATGTCATTCTGTTCTCTGTCATGGAATGCAACTTTACCCTTGCCCTCAATTTCTCCACATTGAGTGTCCTCATCTACTGTTCCCTCCATGCACTTAGGGATGTGTTTCTTGGCTCTGAGCCTGTGAAGCACTTCTGTTGTGATGTTATAACCTCTTGAGTGTGTTGTTCCCTCTGTGACTCTTACATATACCTTCCCCTACAGGCCTCCCCACAATTGCAAGAATATGCACTTAGTTGTACTGCTTTTCTATTTTCCTTTCCCATAGCCTTTCCTCTCCCTTGGAGAGTAGTTTTCTCTAATGACATTTGAAGGCATGCTTTCTTTATTCCGTGTTTCAGAAAATAGTTCTGCAATTCCTTTGGAGGTTGCCATCTGAAATGCATTTGTACTGCCCTGTTTTTATCCTTCTGCCTCCTACAGCACAAAGAAAATCAATCATTCGATTCCTCCTAGTCGTTTTTTGAGAGACCACAGTCTCCAAACACTAAAACAGGCCCTGTAAGGATAATATAAAGGACATAGGAGAAGAGATGTGGTTCTTGCCCTTGAGTAAATGGTAAGAGAGCTGGAAGAACTCTGTTGATCAATACCTGATACAGCCAGGATGAAGCTCAGTATTAAATCATTCCTTCAGGTTGAGGGCAGTGGCTCATATCTGTAATCCCAGTACTTTGGGAGGCCAAGGTGGGTGGATCACCTGAGGTCAGGAGTTTGAGACCAGCCTGGCCAACATGGTGAAACCCCATCTCTACTAAAAATACAAAAAATTTAGCCAGGCATAGTGGCACATGCCTGTAATCCCAGCTACTCGGGAGACTGAGGCACAAGAATTGCTTGAGCCCAGAAGGTGGAGGTTACAGTGAACCGAGATCACACCACTGCATTCCAGCCTGAGCGACAGAGCGAGACTGTCTCGAAATAAATAAACAAACAAATAATCATTCCTTCAGTTCCCAGAGCCCTTCAGTAGCATCTATGGAAGAATGCTTTCTGCAAGTCCTATTTTTTAAAAAAGGAGTTTTCACTTTTCCAGTAACTTTGAACCATTGCCTCAACAGTCTGAAACATAACAGAGTCTCAAGTAAATATTTTGGACAAACAAATGGGTGGGTGGATAGATGGATGTATGGATGGATACTCATCCATAAATACATGGATAGGTAGACGGATGGATGCATGGATGGGTGGATTGGTAGGTGGATGGATGAGTGGATGGATGAATGGGTGGATGGATGGATGGATGGATGGATGGATGATGAATGAGTGGATGGATGGGTGGATGGATGGGTGGATGGATGAGTGGATGGATGAGTGGGTGGATGGATGGGTAGATGGATGGATGGATGGATGGATGATGAATGAGTGGATGGATGGGTGGATGGATGGGTGGATGGATGAGTGGATGGATGAGTGGGTGGATGGATGGGTAGATGGATGGAGGGACGAATTGATGCATGCATGGGTGGAAGGATGGGTGGATGAATGGGTGGATGGACGAATGGACAGGTGGATGGGTAGATGGATGGGTGGATGAATGAGTGGATGGATGAATGGGTGGGTGGATGGGTGGATAGATGGATGGATGAATGGATGCATGGATGGGTGGATGGATGGATGAATTGATGAATGGACAAGTGGATGGATAGATGGATGGGTGGATGGATGGGTTGATGGATAAGTGGATTGATGAATGGGTGGGTGGATGGAAGGATGGATGGATGGATGGATGAATGGATGCATGAATGGGTGGAAGGATGGGTAAATGGATGGGTGGATGGATGAATAGACAGGTGGCTAGGTGGATGGATGGATGGATGGATGGATGGATGGATGGATGGATGGATGGATGGATGCATAGGTGGATTGATGGATGGGTTGGTGGGTTGGTGGGTGGATGGATAGACATATGGATAGGAGGATGGATATATGAGCTACTTAACTTGATGTTGGATATCTTACTTAAGAGACAGTTTGGTACAGTAGCCCAGTGTGGCTGTGTGAATATGAAGAAGTTATTTAACCTTTGTTTCTTTTTTATTCACTTGTAAAACAGAGACAAAACAGGTCCATGATCACTTATATGCAATCCTTATGGATTTGTTAGGCATTCAGACATTGCCAGATTTCAAAGGGGTGATGTAATTTATATATACCTCCAGCTGGGTCTGAGGCAGCACCACAAAACAGGAACACTGACAATTTTTATTGAGTAATGTAAATAGAAACTTAATCGGCTAAAACAAGACTGTAACCATCCTAAAGTCTTCTCAGTTTGGTTTTGACATCAAATGAGATATGACCAACTTTTTAGTTTCCAGAGCATTTTGGATTTTAGCATTGAATGTAAGGAAATGTGAATTGGTCTTCTCTACATTTTAGAGCTTGTTTGGGGATTCCTGTAAGATTATAAGCACATATTGGTTTGCTTGCTTATTCTCTACTTTCCCCACAGTATTAACTACAACCAGCATAAAAAGTGAGGGCCGTGTTAGAAAAATTCTGTGCCTATACCCGAGCAGGTGTTCAACTAAGGCAAGTGGTATGAAGCGTGGAGTGAGGGATGAAGTATCCTGACTCCTGCACTTCCCTCCCCCATGCGCTGCCACTGCAGGTCTACGCTCTGAGCTCATCAGTTTGTATATTCCTGAATCACCACAGCACATATCCCCAGGGGCCACTTCCTTGTTCTTGAAGCACTCCCCTTCTTTGTTTGCTTTCCATATCATGGCATCTTTCTTGGTTTTCTTCTTCAACTCAGTCTTCTCTTAGATTTCTTCTTCCTCCTTCTTGTCCCACAAATGTCAGTATTTTATAGGTTTCTGCCCTCAGTCTCCTCTCTTTGAGCTTGTGGAGAACTCTCTGCTGGTTACCTTGCCTGCTCTCTGGCTTTACTTATTGTCGCATACACTTAAGATTTTCAATCCAAATCTGTCCTTGACATTTGGACTTGAGCGAAGACTCTCGTGAGCTTCAGGCTCAAGTGTGCATCACTTCTAGGATGTCTGAAAGTCCCTAATTCCAACATGCCCAAAAGAATCCACCTCATTTTGCCCAAACTTGATTCTCATCCTTATCAGTGAATGCACTCTTATCAGTGAATGCACCATCATTCACCCAGGCCAGAACCTGGGAGGCATCTCTTCCTCTTTACCTAAATCAGATCCATCCCCAATTCTCCAGCAATGCTGTATTTATCTATCTCTCATTACATCTCTACTGTTCCTTTTACCTCCCTCATTCAGGTTCCTATCATAGCTTCTTTGATTTTCTGAATCTATTCTCAAGAGGTGATTCAGGGACCCCTAAGGATCTATCTCCAAGGTCCTTGCAGGTGTCTACAAGATCATATCATGCATGGATAAAACCCATTTAAAGTTCAAGAGAGATTAATGGTTTTCAGTATACAGAATTTAAGTGTACTGATATGGTTTCAGATTCTGCTTTAAGAAACTACCATCTGTTGAATGTTGGTGCAGTATCAAAGAATAATATGCACAATTATCTGAAAAGACCATTAAAATATTTCTCCATTTTCCAACTATACATCTGCTTAAGTCTGGATTTTCTTTGTGTACTTAAACTAAAAAGCACTCACAGCAGACTGACTGTGAAAGCAAATGAGACTCTATCAGGCTTCTATGAGACTATACTTTAAAGAAATTTGCAAAAATCTCTAGATTTTTGGTTTTTGAAATAGAGTTCTGTTTTACAAAAAGTCATGTTAACATGTAATTAATGTTATTTAATTAATGTTATTTTTAATAAGTTAAATAATTTTTAAATTTTCTGTTTTAATTTCTAATTTGGCAAATATTGGTAGGTACAACCACAAAACAAAAACTCTTTAGTATCCTCAGTATTTTTTGTGTGTAAAGGAGCCCTAAGACCAAAATGTTTGAGAACCTTTCTTTGATTTACCAGAACAGCTTTGTGGCCAGTCTCCTTCACCCCTGTTGAACCCACCCTGCAGCCAAAGTGACTCTCCTGCAGGGCAATATCATTAAACAACAACCCCTAATAAAACCCTTGAGAGGGTTCCCACTGCCCTGAGGATAGACAATAGGCAGGGTCCTCCACAACCCTGCAAACTTCCCTCTCTTCCCTCTCAATCCCCAGCCATGGGCCTTTCCACATATGTTCACTACCTCTGGAATGTTCTTTTAATTCTACCATCCCTTCTGTTTTCTGCAGAATAGGATCTATCATAAGGCCAGCTCCCTTAATGATGATGGGATGCGTGTCAGCAAACCAGGGTATCACTTTCTTCTCATGCCAGGTGGTTCTGTCTTTCTTCTCATATATTGCACAAAAGACCAAGGCTTCCCTGAGAAAGGAGTACATCGTTAGGCCACCACCAGTGATGACCAATGGCTTTGATCCTCAAAAGTCCACAATAGATGACTCTCTTTTTATTAAATTAAATAAAATTGTATTTAAAACACAAAAATTTAATTACATTAAATTTTATTAAATCATCTCTCAAAATGTTTTCAAACATTTTGGTCTATCATCCACTGTACTTCCCTATCATAACACTTATCATAGTGAATAACCTGAAATTGCTCCTGTAATTATCTTTCTTTCATTTGATGCTAAGGATATGAGGTTGGGAACTGTGTCTGCCCTGCTTAATGCTACATGTCCATTACCTAGTGTAATGCAGGCTTTGCATAGAGTAAACAAAAAATAAAATTCTGAGCACTTCACAACCATTGGAATCAGCCCCTCCTCTCAGCCAGGGTATTCCAAAGTTAACCTAAAAACTGGTTTAGGCCATGACAGGAAGGCAGGGTCAAACATGTCTCATTATGCCCTCCTTCCTTTTGGAATTCAGGAAAAGCCAACCAGCATTAACATCAACACAGACCTTAAGACTGTTAAGAAACATTTAGAATCTATTCTCTCTGATGGCTGCTACCTGGATGTTTCATGTGCATGATAAAACTTTGGTCTCCACAACCCCTTATTGTAACCCAGACACTCCTCTCTATTGACAACAACTCTTTCAACCAATTGCCAATCAGAAATTCTACCCTTAACCTGGAAGCCCTCTCCCTCTTAAAGTTGTCTCACCTTTTTGGACCGAACCAATGTGTATCTTGCATGTATATGATTGATGTCCCATGTCTCCCTAAAATGTATAAAATTAGGCTGTGTCCCAACCACCTTGGGCACATGTTCTCAAGATCTCTTGAGGGCTGTGTTACAGGCCATTGGTCACTCATATTTGGCTCAGAATAAATGTCTTCAAATATTTTACAGTTTGACTCTTTTTGTCAACAATAGGTAGGTGCATAATAAATGTTTATTGGCTAAAGAAAAGTAGATGAGGGAAAGCGAGACAAAATTGGGTCCCAGCAGAAATCAGAAGAATATCTGGAGAGAGAACAAAGGGACATTTTTCTAATCTTAGAGAGGAGATTGAGGCCCTGCTCTGACTTTTCAGGTAGCGTTGCCGTGATTATTACTGAATATTCAAATACTTTACATCTTACCTGGAAGGTTTTACAGGAGGCACAATTTAAAAGTTAAATTTGATTCAGAGATTTATATTGATCTGATTAAAACAATTTATTTTAAGAGTTTTTTAAGTTATAAAATTGCCTAGTAGATGTTTTTGAATTATCTTTAAACATTATTATCTGGAGAATTTTGATAAGCACAAGAGTATAATCCTGATTTTTACATATGACCCTTTCTTTATACTATATCCCTATAATTACTTTAGATTTCAGGAACCGTTTATTTTATATCACCTGGAGAATATTTGCAGTTGCCTTAAACATGTAGATGAACATTCTATGTGTACATAAGGAAAGAACAGGCTTCTTTTTAAAACTGCATGTCAATTCCCAGTCAATATTTTAGAAAGAATCAAGCCTGAATACTTAAAGGTACAGCTCTAGCCATATGAATTTTAGATTTTAGCTGAGGGGGAAAAAAAATCTCTATTTTTCTTGAAGATTTTAAATTATTATTTGGGCTTGAGTTTCTCAAGTTAAAAAACAAAACAAAACAGTGTTTACTATTCAGGTCCTGTTATCACTCTTCTACTCAAAAAAGAAAAGGAAAAAAAGAAAAAAAAAGGCAGCTGTGGATTAATAAAGTCATGAAAAGGCTTCCAGATAAAAATCTCAGGTTCAAAAAATGATTTAATATCTTCATAAAATTGACATAGAAATGCTTGTGAAATTGGATGATACATGACATATTTCATAAAGTTTATCAAACCAAGATTCATTTAAATCTAAAATATCAGAACCGTCACCAAGCCCTCTCTGTGCTGCTCAGCTGAGCCTCCCTTACCAGATGGACCCTTAAGGTTTGGCCTCCTTGATCAGCCCCACACATAACCACTGAGCCCAACTGCACGCTCCCTAGAAATGGCTTCGCTGAGCCTTTGATGACTGCCCCACACAGAACCACTGAGCCCAACTGCATGTTCCCTAGAAATGGCTGCGCTGAGCCTTTGATGACCGGGCTTCTTACAAAGTCCCATCTAGACATTGACAAGGTGACTCGTTTCTGTCCAGTGTGAATCTGGGATGGTCTTGCAATAATGATATAAAAATTTGGCCAGTGTATTACCAAGTATTTTATTTTTTGTATTCTGATGCCTTGACATCTTGGGGGCTGCTGGCCCTGTAGGAACTGTTCTCCCCACCCCAGCCCCAAGGACCAGCTGATTCCTAGAGGGAGTAAAGGACCCCTGTGAGTACACCTTTCACATGTAAAACAACCAACCCAGAGCCCACACCCCACCGCCCCCTCTATGGGGCTTTCATACTCTGGGCCACTATCCCCCTATCCTCAGGGAAGGTACCAGACAACCAGGGAGAGCCCCTCCATCCCAGAGCCCACTGAAATGATTCATACTAGCCAATCCCAAGCCTGCTTACCCTGCCTCACCTGTCCCTTCCCACAAAACCAAAACAAAACAAAATAAAGGCTCTTGCCCACAGTACCCTCGATTCCTCTTCCTATGGCCTATCTTGGCGTTTCCATATATGGCACCTCGTGGCATGATGTGGGCTCTCTTCTTGGGAACTGTGAGAAGCAAACTATCTTTTCAATGGCAGTCATGTTCTTATCTGTTGGCCTTACTGTGCCTCAAATTTTCTCCCACTGCACTATATTTTAAAACAACCAGGGAAATAAATTTTCTTTCAACATGTATTAATACATAGAAGGAGTGAAGATGAAGGCAGTTGTCCAATAAGGAAGCTTTGTCCTTTAAGCCCAGGGCAAAAAGGGTCTGGATGGAGCATTTCTGGCTTGATTTCATTGGACCTCCCCTGGCTGTCTCCGCTGGCTCACACAGTATCCAGTTGCTCAAGGTTCCCTCTGTCTGAACCCTTCTCCACGCAGTCCCACTAACTGAAGCATTCGGTTCTTCTTTTGGGCGGTCTTGAAGTTGATGATAATCTCCATCTGCCTGAATTAGGAAAACATTTTTTGATGAAGGACTTGGCAGGAACGTGCTTGTGCCTGTCACAGCCAGTGAGCCCTGAGCTGATGAGGAAAATAAGTGCTGATATGTGACTGAGGACTGTTCTCACATCCCAGACAGTTCGTGTGGACTCCCAGAAATACTGATTACATTTATTCTTGCTTTAGGACAAAGAACATGAGAAATATTCTTTTTTTTTTAATTTGACAAGTGGCTGATATATTTTTCCTCACCCTAGCTTTATTGAGGTATAATTAACAAATAGAAATATATTGAAATCAGCATGTTGGCCGGGCGCGGTGGCTCAAGCCTGTAATCCCAGCACTTTGGGAGGCCGAGGCGGGTGGATCACGAGGTCAGGAGATCGAGACCATCCTGGCTAACACGGTGAAACCCCGTCTCTACTAAAAATACAAAAAACTAGCCGGGCGTGGTGGCGGAAGCCTGTAGTCCCAGCTACTCGGAGGCTGAGGCAAGAGAATGGCGTAAACCCGGGAGGCGGAGCTTGCAGTGAGCCGAGATCGCGCCACTGCACTCCAGCCTGGGCGACAGAGCGAGACTCCGTCTCAAAAAAAAAAAAAAAGAAATCAGCATGTTGAAGAGATGTTGGTGCTCCCATGTTCGTTGCAGCATAATTCACAATCGATAAGATGGAAGCAGCCCAAGTGTCCACCATCAGATGGATGGATAAGGAACGTGTGATCTATATACTCAAGGGAGTACTGTGTAGCCTTTAAAAAGATGGAACTGTTGTTATTTGAGACATGATAAACCTGGAGTACATTATGCTGCACGAAATAAGCCAGGCACAGAAAGGCAAGTATTACATGATATCACTTATATGTGGAATCTAAAAAAGTTGAACTCATATAAGTGGAAGTAGAATGTGATTACCAAAGGCTGGGGGAGAGGCGTGTATGAAGAAATGAGAGATGTTGATCAAAAGGTACAAAGTCTCAGTTAGACAAGGAGGAATAAGCATTAGTGATCTATTGCACAGAATAGTGACTATAAAATATTTATAATGCATTATATATTTCAAAATTGCCAAGAGAGTAGATTTAAAATATTTTCACCACAAAGATGAAAAGCATGTAATGAATTTGTTAATGAATCTGAATTAATCATTCTATATTATAAATATATATCAAAGCATCACATTGTGCCTCATAGATATATAGAACTATTATTTGTCAATTAAAAATAAAATATAAAAATTAATATTAGAAATTACACATATTTACATGATGTTTTGATATATGTATATATTATGAAATTATCAAATCAAGAAAATTAACATACGCATCGCTTTATGTACTTATTTTTTTTGGGGTGGTGAAAACATTGAAGACCTACTCTCTTAGTCAATTTCAAATATACAATGAAGCATTATTAACCATTGTCACCAAACTGTACAATAAATCTCCGGAACTTTTCCTCCATAACTGAAAGTTGTACCCTTTGAGAAGATCTCCCCATTCCTCCCAAAACATCCAGCCTCTGGTAACTACCATTCAATTCTCTGCTTCTGTAACGGAAGTGCAGTTTAGTTGCTTGCTGCATTTAGAGTCCAGTTAAAAAAAGAAAGGTCTGATACCTAAAAGAGTGAATTTCTTCCAAAGCTAGCTTGGGGAAGAGGCACAGATGTCCTGCTGTACTGCTTCACCTTTGGAGCAGAAAGCGGGCACCTTTATAAGGTGGCGGGGTGGGGAATGAGCAAGGGCAGGGTTCCCCCTGTTAGGTTGGTGCCTTGTCTATCAACAGTTGAGTTGGCGCCTTCCTGGGCAGATGTAAGTTGTAAAA